TGACCCAAAAATGCAGGGTTATTGCACTCAACTTAACTTTGACCTGGAAATTGTAGCATTTGTAACTTTCTAATAAGGTCATATATTTAAGTAAAACTTTAATTTATTATGTACTTTGACTTGCATATATCATCTCATTTAATTGTCACCTTAACCTTGTGATGTAAGTTGGTATAATTTCCTGTTTGGATTAAAAAAGAGAAAACCAGGCTCAGAGAGATTATGATTTGCTTAAAGTTACAATATTAAATAGGAAGAGCTGCATCAAAAATCTAGATTCTTGTCTATCCTTTTATCCTTACTCAGTATCCCTTTACTCCATGTAGCTAAACTCCTTTCCAAGTTCTACATTAGTTAATTATGATGCTTTTGCCTAAAAGCACCAAAGATGGATAAAAAATTGCTTAGGCTGGAAAGAGCCTGTACGATCTGTGACAGGTGCTGCGTAGGTTGGTTGAAAAATAACATAAAGGTTGTGTCCTTTCTGTGTTTTTGTTAATGCTTATAATACTTTTATGACTTAGTGTCCTTCTGGTGTCTCTGGTATATTTCAGACTGATTTTTAAGTTGTCAGGAAAGGGGATTTTCACTCCAGTGCTCAGTTCCTCTAAAGCTTCTTATTTTCCTTTGTACCATGAAATTTATTTCTTAACCAGAGCTTAGGGTGGTGTCAGACTTAAGTTCCTACTGTTTGCTGCTGACCTATTTTTGTCTGCCCTCTTTTTTTCCATATAGCCAGTCTCTCTTGCTAAACCCCACACTTCCCTTATTTCCAGCTGTAGTTATATGGAAGGTTCTGGGAGTCAAAGGACAGTGAGTTTGAGGGTAGGGAAAGGATATAAAGCTCTTGTCCCTTCTGACTCCGTGTGTTTCTCAAAAATCCTGGGAGTATCCTGATGTTGTGTTTACTTTCCAGGACCTGGTGCTTTTCTCCAGATTCTTTAGGAGCAAGGATCTGGTCTTCTGGGAAAGACTTCCCAGAGACATTTTAATGGGTTGATTTGGTTTTTCCCCTATTTAGGGCTTAGAAACAGGCATGTACAAATCAGCTTTTATTTATTTATTTATTTATTTAATTTTTTTTAGCTGAGCCTTCCTGCTGCCTGTTGGCAACTCAGTGGCAGCTCAGTTTGGGCCAGGAATTGAGCTGGCGACCCTGTTGCTCAGAGCTTGCACTCTCGAGCAAACTCTTAACCAACTGAGCCACTCGGCTGGCCCTCCTTTTGTTTGTTTTTAATGGTTCACTACCTCTTCTCTTCTTGGAGGTATTTACTCATTTGAGGTTTCCCATGTATTTCATTTATTCTTTCATAAATTATTCAGTAGGAACAGGTGCTATAATACTGAGACCAAGAGACATTGTCCTGGCTTCACAAAGTTTATAGTTTTGTTTGGAAGATAGGCAAACAAGCAATGTACTAAAGTGTGATTTATTGTTCTAGTCACATGATTAAAATAAGTTTTAAATAAAACATGTTTCTTTTATAATTTCACCATAGCAATAGATCACCTGCTTTTACGTTTTTCCATATTCTCTTTCAATATTTGTCCATATGTAAACATATTTTTACATAATTGTAATTGTTTTTTAGTTATAATTTCATAATTTGTTTTTTTCACTTATAATTTTATATATTGTTACATAGTCTTAATAATTATATTTTTTCATAGCTGTTGTACCATGATTCATTCAACTATATTTTATTAGAGAACTGCATTGACTTCCAATTTTCCACCATTATTACATAGTAAAACCAAAGGCATTCTCAATTTTCAGGAAAGGAATTACTTCATCAAAGGCTATGGTGATACATGTCGCGTTTTGGTAGATACTGCTATACTGCTTCCTATAAAAGGTGTTTCCAGTTTGAAGTTTATCAACCATTTTCACCTTGCTTTCCAGCACACAATATTATTATCTTTTTAAGTGTTAATATAATAGGTATAAAAGCAGTATTTGAATATTTAACATGTATTTCTATGAGAAACAGGTAAGGTTGAATGTTTTCCCTAATGTTTGTTTATAAATATGTTATGTGGAACAATTGCCTTGTCTTTTGACAGTTTACTTGTTGATTCGCTTACTTGGTGGTTTGATTTTGAATGTGACATTCATTGTCAGTTAGGAGGAATGGAAAACAGTGGCTAGAATGTCTTCTTGGGGATTATATCAAGAATCAGGTTCTTTGAGGTAAACTCAATACTATGTGTTGTACTGACACCTGCAGGATCTACACTAGGCTGTGAGTTCCTTCAGGGCCAGGGCCATGTTTTATTCTTTGCCTCAGCATTTTGTAGCCTGGCTGCTAGTAGGACTCAAAAAATGTTGAAGGAATAGGGACACTAGATAGTCTCCTCCAAATATTCTTACGTCTTCTTATATTGCCCTAAAATTTCACCATTTAAGATTCATTCTTTGGATCTTAAAGACTTTCTAATCTTGGAGCTTCTAGGAATTTATTGATACCTATTAATAGGGGGATAAATATGGTGGTCTCAGGTAACATACTGGACATTATAAACACAATGTGAGAGCAACACTTTGTGGGGATGGAATATAGAATAGACACCCGGTGGTGGAAGAGTGGAGATGGGATGAGAGAGATGCTCAGAAGATTAGTAGGAATTTGTCAGAACTAAACCTCATCTATTACAGAGAATCAGGAATACGAGAGCTGGAAAGTAATATTAGTAATTCCCTGAGCCTTGATATCCTGTGTGTAAATGTAGATGAGAATACCTGCTTACCAGGGTTATTGTGGGACTTTATTGAAATTAAGTAGATTATGAAAGTGTTTTGTAAACTCTGAAATGCTATGCAAATAAAAAAATATTGTTATCGTTGCCATCATGTAAGAAACCAAGAATAGAGATATAAAATTACTTTTATTTTTTGCCAGGAGCTAGATCTATTCTTCATATTATGCAGCCAATCTTTATCATTTGAAGATGAAATCAAAATTTCTAAAGTATTATTCCTCCCCTCACACTCCAAGGAAATAATGAAGAAGGATGGAGGATAGGGGAGTAGCTTTGTGGAGTGAATAGACTTTGTTAAGCTTTTTATCACTTTGGCAAATTATTAGCTTCCTTCTTCCCAAGTTCTTTTCCTAGAGAAGAATGAAACACAGCAAAAAGAAGAGGCCAAAACAGCATGAGCATGGTAAAGCATGGGTCATGTGCACAGGCAGTAAGTGATTTGATTGAAGCAGTGGGTTTGGATTAGGAGGAATCATGAGCTGATTTTGGAATAGCAGATAGGGCTCTGATAAGAAGAACCTTGAATGCAAAGCTCAGAATTTTACACTATCCTGTAGTCAGTGGTGACTAGTGACAGTTTTGGAGCGGAGGGTAGATGACTCGATCAGTGTCTTGCTTAGGAAGGTTTATCTGGAGACAGTGTAGAAAATGGGAAGGAGGAAAAACAGGCCTAGAGATTTAGGAGCATGTTTTGATTGTCCATCTGTGAGATACTTGAGGCTCGTATTAGGACTGTGGAAGTGGAGAAGAAGAAATAGATCCAAGGATGTCAGAGAGTGTAGTCATAGCTAAAGGAGTGGGAGATCTTATGACATTCAATCTGTTTTCTCTCCCAGAAGTTTGTTTTTCCTGTAAACTTAAAAAAAAATTGAATTCTACAACATAACCAGCATCTGTTAAGCTTTTATAATACCCCTCAGTCATTATTTCACCTCCCTAACAGGTAACCACTATTTTTACTTCCTTCACCACCTGTTGATTTTGCCTAGGCTTTGAGCTTTATTTCAATAGACTCATGCTGTATAAACTCTCATAAGTCTTGATTTCTTGTGTTTTATGTTATATTTATAAGACTCATTTGCTTTCTTGTATGGAACATTAGTTCATTCTTTTTCATTGTTCATTTGTATTCCACTGTATGAATGTATCACAATTTATTTATTCATTCTGCTGTTAATAGATACTTAAGTTGTTCCCAGCTTGGGGCTGTTATGAATAATACCGCTATGAACAATTCTTATACATGTCTTTTGGTGACTATTAACTCTTGTTTCCTACCCATGAGTGGAATTTGCTTGGTTACGGCCTATATATGTTGAGCTTTAGTAGATACTACCAAATAGTTTTATATTTATCGGTTTACACTTCCACTAGCAGTGTATAAGCGTTCTTTGCCAATACTTGTATCTTAGCTCAGGTTCTATAACAAATACCATAGACTGGGTGGCCTAAACAGAATTTTGGTTCTCAAAGTTCTGGAGGCTGGAAGTCTAATATCAGGGTGCCAGCATGATCAAGTTCTGGTGATATTCCTTTTCCTGGCTTGTAGGTGCTGCTTTCTTGCTGTATCCTCATATGGTGGAGAGAGCCGGGGTCTCTTCAACCCCTTATAAGGTCCCATCATGGGGCTCCGCCCTTATGACCTCATCTAAACCTAATTACCTCCCAAAGGCCCAAACTCTGTTATCACGTTGGGGGTTAGGGTTCAACATATGGATTTTATGGTGGGGGACACAAACATTCAGTCTATAATGAGTTATATAATAACTCAGTATTACAGTATTTTAAATATCAAAGACTTTTCTGTTATAAGAAACCGTATCTAACATAGAGGAGAAAAGGACTATTGGTTATTGAATGCCTGCTACATACCAGATACTGCCTAAATGCTTTTACTTATGTTGTCTCATTTAATTAAAATAATACTCATGTAAACTGTGAAATCAGTGTTATTGTATTGACTTTACAGGCCAGAAAACTGAGACTCACAGGTTAGGCAGCTCATAATTGCCATCCAGAATCTAACCTAGATCTGCTTGAATCCAAACCAATCACGTAACATGGAAATGCAGTTTGTCAGTGAGGTGTTTTCCTTCTTTCTTTTTGGTGGATAGGTGGTCTTCTTTTTTTCTTTTCTTTTCTTTAATATCTTTTCCAGGCCATTTAATCAAGTGACTTACAATGTACACATTCCTGAGTATACCCTTTTGTAGTGACATTGTTTCCGAATTTTTCTGCATTTAGCTTAAAAGGTGTTTCTTCCCAAGAAACTGAACTTTTCTGTCAAATGCGCTTGATCGAATACAAGAATTGGGTTCATAAAATGGGTTCATTGCAAACTTTATGTATAAATCATAGACATCAGTAAAGAACTTCTTTATTCCATCTTCTTGCCTTATATCGTGAAGCATAATAAATCTCATATGACCTGCAGTAACAAATGCTGAAACAAACCACTCATTGAACTTGTCCACTATTTTCAAGTACATATTGTTTGACAGCCACATATTCTCATCTACAAGGTCAAGGGTAGCATGAGCTATGAACTGGTTCAGATGACGATGATCGTTTTTTGATTCTGCTTTTCCAGACGGCAAAAACTCCATTTCAAAAACTGGATTATCATGGTGGCCAACAATTACAAAGTAGAAGCTTCCAGACATTGTCTTCAGTATGTAGCTCCTGAGCTGAGACACCAACAACGGAAATAGGCAGTCTGTTCCCGCAGTAACAACCCGCGCTCCGCAGTTTCAGTTAGGACTCCCTGAGCAGCCCTCGCGAGACTCGAGACTCGGCAGTTGCTTTCTGCTGATACGTGGGCGGAGTTTCCGGCTGAGGGTGGTCTTCTTGATGACCTGAAAGCCGATCATATAGGTGGCCCCCTTGTGAGACCTAGTACTTTGCTGGCTTTGCAAAGAGCAGCCTTCCAACCAGGTACCTACCCCTACCTTGTGCCCTTTCTGCCTCCCCACTGAATCTCTTAGCAGCCAGTCATTAAGACTGTCTCAAGGTAGATATTATACTGCAACATCCTGTGCTTCAGCTGGCAGGCTGACAGAAGAAGCTCCCCTAGAATATTTAAGGCTAGCCAACCCTGTGAATTCTCTCTCTCATGAGTTTTCTTGTAGCTATTTCCCCCATAAGAGGAGGGCAGGAATGACATCTAAAAGAACTAGAAGGTAGGAGACCAAGGTTCCTGGTACTAATACTAAATTGTTGTATGCGCTTGAAAACCACATTTCCCTTCTCTTGACCCGGGTTTTCTAATTTATAAAAAGAGAGGGTTGGATTGGGATTACTGGTTGCATGGGCCATCCTCAGGGCCAACTGTGGGAAGATACAAGTAGGAGATAATTTGGATCCTCTGTATATTATGACAGCCAGAGCAACTCTGGTTTCATTTGTTGTATATCCATTGATCTTCCTTCTGAGTTTTTAATTAAAGCAAAAGATTGTATGACAAATATACACTTGAAATCCACTAGAGTAGATGATCTCTACTAATTGAAAGAACCACTTCGTGAACATGGAAAACTTTGTGAAATATTATGAGTGGGGAAATTAAATGCGCAAAATTTTCACCCTTAACAATTTTTTTAAAATACGTACAAGGACTTCATGCTTTCCTCTGACCTCCATGAGGGCATGGAAAGGGTATAATGAATTTTGCATAGAGTAGGAGGTTGGGGAAAGATTAACCAAAGAGGAGACATCTGAACTGGACTTGAAGAGTAGAAATTCACTAGAATGATTAGGAGATGGGGTGGGGGGGGGTGGGAAGAATGAGGCATTTCAGTTAGAGGAATGAGGTAGGAAGGCATAAAAAGACATTGCTATTTTTGAAATACTGTGTTCTTGATGTAGATATTGTGTATGATGAACAGGTGGAGAAAGGAATGCTAGGAGACGAGGTTGGGAGGGTCTCTGGGCTACTTTGTAAAGGAACTTGAACGTTATAGTGGTGAAGACTAATGAAGAATTATAAATATCATTTGAATTAGCCCTGCCTAATAAATTTTGGGCTCCTCTAGACTCAGGACCTCTGATCCACACAGCGGTGTTTGGATGCTAGCTATGGTGATGGTGGTGCTCACAGACTCAGAAGTGATTTTGATTAAAGAGAGCCTTGGTAACCTGGGGTCTACACTAATGTCTTCTTCTTAATTGGCTTAGAGTTTTGGCTATATGTGTAAATGCTTGTGTAAAACAAAAGGGTAGGGGGGTGGGAGAGGCTCTGCCGATGGGCAGCAAGTCTCCACACTGTAATAAACTCAGTGGTGTCCTTACCATTTAAACTCATTATCAGCGGTGGAAGAGGCAAGATTGTAATTTTACCTCCTGTGTAAAAAATTAGTCAGCCTTGTGGCTCAGGGCTTTCCAGCTCTTCTCCATAACAAACCTCATTCTTTCCCCAGAAACATATGTTTATTTGTAATGCATTTCATTTGTGGTAATTGGAGCAGCAGCCTTTTCATTTTCCTGTCAAATACCTGTCTCCCTGATATAATGAGCCTGTGAATTGCATTAGGTTGGGAATCAGGTTCCTAATTAAACACGTATGAAGGTGTCTCACCATTGCCCCCTTTTAATCATTTCTGTCCTTTAGATGTCCCTAGATCTTATGACTCCTATCCTGGTTGAAGACAGGTCTCAGATTGGGGCACAGTACCTGCCCAACTGGGGACAACATTAGCTTCATCCATTTTATGACATAGTGAGAAGGAGTGAACTGACATTGATAGAAAAATTACCATGACCAAGTACTTTATATACATTATCTCATTGAATCCTTACACTTCCAAAGAGACGTTATTGCCATTTTATAGTGAGCAGATGGTTAAGTAACTTCTCCAAAGTTACATACAGCTGTAAAGTGAAAAATGAGGATTTGAATTTTTTGTCTCTTGAATTCAAAATCCATGTTTTTTTCTACTTCATGACTCTGAAAGCAGAATAATTGTGCTATTAGAGTCATAGCAATTTTCGTAGCTCAATGAAAAAAAGTTTAGGGAGAGGACTTTAGACATCAAGTTCAGAAAAGAGGTTTTGAAGAATCAAAACTTGATTAAAGAGTAACCTTCATTGGGCTGGCCGAGTGGCATGATGGTTAAGAACTGACTTGGGATGCCAGAGGGCTCCGGTTCGGATCCCACATATGAGGGCCAGTGACACTGCCCTCTATAGCTAAGATACTGAACAACAGCTCAACCTGGAGCTGGGCACTGTGAGTCTCCGGCAATGGCATAGCCTGCAGCCCCTGTGGCAGTGGGTTGCCGTGGGCTATTGTATGTAGCCAGCAGCCACCGTGAGCGGCCAGCAGCCACTGTGAGCGGCCGTCCAGAAGCCGGCGACTGATCTGCCTCGCCCAGGAAGAGCGCAATGATGGTGCCAACTTGGGCCAGTGTAGCAATGTCCTCCACAACTAGACTGAAGAACAAAAGGACAGCAACTTGTCTGTTCCCCTTCCCCCATTTCCCCAGCGCTGTTCCCATCCCCCCAATTCCCCAATAAAAATCTTAAAAAAAAAAAGAATGTATTCCAATAATCAAAGGCAAATTTCAACAATGCAAAAACCGCAATTACATTTGCACCAACCTAATAGTACTTACCTTACTTTGGGAATGAAACATTATGCTGTGACCAGTGGTGAGTTTAGATAAATTCCAGGTGTGAGGCAGAGTAGGGAGTGAGACTGAAAAGAAATGTAGCTGGGGCTTTAAAAAAAAAAAAAGGAGATATAATTTACATACCGTAAAATTCACCATTTGAAGTATATAATTCATTGGTGTTGGTATATTCACAAGGTTGTATAACCATCACTGCTATCTAATTCCAGCACATCTTCATCATTGCAGAAAGAAACCCCATACCTATTAACAGCCATTCTCCATGACCCCTTTCCCCAGTCCCAGGAACCACTTATCTACTTTTTGTCTCTGTGGATTTGCCTATTCTAGACATTTCATGTAAATGGATTTATACAATATATGTGGCCTTTACTTCTATGCCCAGCTTCTTTCACTTAGCATAATGTTTTCAAGGTTTATTCACAGTGTACCATGTGTTAGTACTTAGTTCCTTTTATGGAATTTTATTCCTTTATTCCTTTCTATTCCATTGTATGGATGTACCACCTTTTGTTTATCCATTCATCAGTTGATGGACATTTGGGTTGTTTCCACTTCTGTGCTATTATGAATAATGCTGCTATGAACATTTGTGTACAAGTAGTTATGTGAACATATGTTTTCAGTTCTTTTAGGTCTATACTCAGGAGTGGAATTTCTGGGTTCTATAGAAATTCTATGTTTAACTTTTTGAGGAACTGCCAAACTGTTTTCCAAAGTGGCTGCATCATTTTAAATTCCCTCCAGAAGTGTATGATGGTTCCGCTTTCTCCACATCCTCGAAGAAACTTGTTATTGTCCTTTAAAAAAAAATTATAGCCATCTTAGTGTGTGTGAAGTGGTATCTCACTGTGGTTTTGATTTGTATTTCCCTACTGATTAATGATGCTGAGCATCTTTTCATGTGCTTATTGACTATTTGTATATCTTCTTTGGAGAAATGTATGTTTAAATTCTTTCCCACTTTTTAAAAGTGGGTTAATTGGATTGGTTTATTTGGGTTTTTTGTTGTTGTTGTTGAGTTGCAAATATTTTCTTCCATTCAGTGGACTGTCTTTTCACTTTTGATAGTGTTTTTTAAAGTGCAGAAGTTTTTAATTTTGCAAAGTCGAATTTATCTATTTTTTATTTTATTGCTTATGCTTTTTGTATATATCTAAGAAACCATTGCCTAATTCAAGTTACAAAGATTTTCTTCTAAGAGTTTTAGCTCTTACATTTATTTTTTAAACCTTTTTTAATCTCTTACATGTAGGTCTTCGATCCACTTTGCATTAAATTTATAGGTTGTATAAGGTAGGAATACATCTTCATTTTTAAACATGTGGATATCTATTTTTCCCAGCACCATTCCCCATTGAATTGTCTTGACATCCTTGTTGAAAGTCAGTTCACTGTAGAATTATGGGTTCTTTTCTAAATTCCCAGTTTTATTCCATTGATTCAGTGGATTCCAATGATCCATTATCTATTCTTATATCAGTACCAGACTGTCTTCATTACTATAGTTTTGAAATTGGAAAGTGTGAGTCCTCCAACTTCATTCTCCTCCAAGATGTTTAGCTATTCTGAGACCCTTGAATTTCCTTATGGATTATAGAATCAGTGTATCGGTTTCTGCAAAAATGGCTGCTAGACTTTTGATAGGGATTGCATTCAATCTGCAGATTAATTTGAAGATTATCAACATCTAATAAGTCTTGCAGTTCGTGAACACAGTTGTCTTTCATTTGTTCCAATCCTCTTTTTCTTTCAATAATGTTTTGTAGTTTTCCTTGTACAAATCTTGTACTTCCTTTTAAACATTCATTTCCAATGATTTTGTTCTTCTCGTTGTTATTATAAGTGGAATTGTTTTCTTAATTAAAAATTTAAGTTATCCATTACCAGTATATGGAAATACAACTGATTTTTGTATATTGATTGTGTATCTGCAACCTTGCTGAGTTCATTTATTAGCTCTAATAGTGTATGTATTCCTTAGAATTTTTTTATATACAAGATCATGTCATCTGTAAATAGAGATAGTTTCACTTCTTATTTCTAATCTGAATGTCTTTT